TCGTGTGCTCATTCTCTTTGATTTCTAGAAATTTCCTAATTTCATCTCTGATCTCCGCCAGTCCGCACTCCTTTTGAAATAGAGTTATTCATCCTCCCAACTTTTTGCTCTTGTGTTCTTCATCTTCCTTTTGTTGATTTCCAGCCTTAAGGCACAGTGGTCAGAGAGAGCGGTCTGTATATCAATGTGCTTAAATTTATGTAGATTCACCTTATGCCCCAGCATGTGGTCTCTCTTTGAATATGTGGCATGTGGACTTGAAAAGAATGTGAATTTTTTGTATTTGGATGAAAAGCTCTGTAAATATCTATCAGGTCACCTTGTCTAATTGTAGTATTTAGATCTCTAACCTCCTTGTTGAGTTTCTTTCCCTGTGATATATCTTTCTCATAGAGTGGTGTGTTGAAGTCACCCACTATCATTGTTGAAGCTGTGATTTCTGTTTTCATCTTTTGGAGTGTTTGGTTGACGTATTCAGCGGGTCTCTCATTCGGAGAATATATGTTTACAATGCTTAGTGGTTCTTTGTCTACCATTCCCTTGAGCATTATATAGTGTCCCCCCTTATCTCTTTTTATGGTTTGTACTTTGAGATCAATTTTATCCAAGATTAGGATTGCAACCCCTGCTTTTTTTAAATTGCTGTTTGCTTGGTGTGCCTTTCTCCAGCCTTTGATTCTCAGCTTATTTTTGTCTGTGGCATTGAGATGTGTCTCCTGTAGGCAGCAGAATGATGGGTTGTGTTTTCTAAGCCAGTCTGATAGCCTCAGTCTTTTAATGCCTGAGTTCAGGCCATTGAAGTTCAGGGTTATTATCTCAATCTGTGGACTCTGTGATGTCATCTTATACCTTTTTTGTTGGGTGTTTTCCTGCCTTCCTGTCTTATCAGTGTGTTGTGCATGCATGTGTGTGTGTATCATTCTTGACTTCTTTCCATCCTTAAGCCAATGCTATCTTAGCATCTGTTTTCTCTTTGTTGCCCTCTAGGTGAGGTTGTTCTATGTGGCCGCCTCTTATTTATGCTTGGTGAGTGTTGTTCTTCTGCCAATACTGGGTCGGCAAGGCTATTTTGTAGGGCTGGGTTTCTTATAATGTGTTCTTTGAGTTTTTTCTTATCTGGGAAGACTTACTTCTCCATCTAGCTTGATCAATAATTTGGCTGGGTAGAGTATTCTTGGGTTTGTATTGTTTTACTTCAATTTTTGGAATATGTTACTCCACTCTCTCCTCTTCTTCATAGTTTCTGCTGATAGGTCTGAGCATATTCTTATTTCAGAACCTTTGTATGTAATTGCTTGTTTTTCCCTAGCTGCTCTCATGACTTTCTCCTTTTCCTCAAAGTTGGATAGCTTAACTATTATTATGTGCCTTGGTGACTTCTTGGGATTCATTGTAGCGGGTGTTCTTGCAGCTTCCTGACTGGTTGCCTGCTCTTCATTCATTAAGCTGGGGAAATTTTCCTCCAAGAATTCTCTTACCATTGTTGCAGATGACTTCTTTGTTGTGTCTTCCTCCTGTAATCCAATAATTCTAATGTTGATCATCTCCATAGCATCAGACATAGGTCTTAGGTTTTCTTCAGCTTCTCTGATGATCTTATTAGATTTTTGGTCACGTTTGTTAAAGTCTTCTTGGCTGTCCTCCAATTCACTGGTGCTTTTGGTTCTCTGCTTCTTCCAGTCGATTCTCGAGATCCATGTGTCTGCTACTGGTTTTTGGTATCTCCTCCCTAAGCTTTCTTGTATTTCTCTTTGGTGTATGGTCTTTACCTCCTCTATCATTTCATCCTTTTTCTGTATTGTGTCCCTCATATCCTGTATGACTCCAAGAAGCATTCTGAAAATTTCTTTCTGTGGCAGCTCAATATCTACTTCTTCTATGAATATCGTTATGTTCAGGACATCTTCTGCCATTGCCTTTTGTTCCTCCTGTTTTTTCATTGAGATTTTTGGGGCTGATGGCTGTTTGCATTGCATTGTTTTAGAGGAGCCAGGTGCCATTTTCCAGGGAGTCGAAGAGCACTTGTAGGAATGCTTCTTTGAACTGCCTACAGTTAATTTCACTATGGAATTAACCTACCACTTTATCCTCCTGTGACTTGCCTCTCAGGGGAGTGACCCAGAAGGCTGGTGGGTTGCCTGCTTTGGTGTAGAACACAGTGAATGGTGGGCGGAATTGCCCTAGCCAGGCAGGTCACTGTGGAGTTTGGGCAGAGGTTCATTTGGGCAATGTTCTTGGAACATTGGCAAATGTTGGCCGAGCTGCCTTAGGCTGTGTTAGGCACTATGGCAGGCAGGGGAAGGAAGTTCCCTCGGTCACGTGGGACAACAGAGGAAAAATAGGAGCTTTCCCAGTCACACAGGCAGGAATTCCTTGGTAAGAAGTTGGGAATACTGTCCTATGGTGGAGCTCAGCCTGGTTTTCCCCAGCCTTGGGGAACACTGCACAGGGTAGAGCTCACCTAACTGGGTGGAGGACAGGTATAAATGCCTTAGACTAAGGGGAGTGGTCTGGAGGTCAGCAGTGGAGTCTGAGAGAACAGGGAAGAGGCAAGAGAAAAAAAAATTTTTAAGTAAGCCCACTGAGACTGTGTGGAGATAGAAGAGAGGGAAACAAAAGTAACAATATAGCTGAGCCCCGATCCCTGCCCATGGTGCTGCAAAGGTTTATAATCCCTGCTTGAGGTGGCGGCAAGCTATAGCTGTGTTGCGTTAAAGCCACTGCGCTGGCTCCAAATGGTCCTGGCTCTGGCCAGGACAGTGTCGGGGCTAAAGTCAAACCCTAGCCGGCCTCCACTGTGGTAAGCCAAAAGCTCCCTGCCCCTCAAAACCTTGTGGATCTGTGCCTACTTATCTTTATGATGCTCCTCCTGCAATCCAGCAGTGTTTAATTTCTCTCTTAGTAACTCTCCTGGGCTGATTTCTTTGGAGTCCCTCTGGTATGTGTTACTCAGTCGTCATCTTCCCAGAAGTCTGCTAAAATATTTTGAAATGACTCCTCTGCCTTGATTTGAACTGGCCCAGCAGATCCCCTCCGAAGCCACAGGTTCTTAATTGGACCCCCTTTTTTTTTTAAGGCACTTAAATGAGACTAAGACAAATGTTTTACTGAGGGAACTTGTCTCCAATCATCCACTAACAGTAGTGCTATGTTTAAACACAACTTGTTTGGAATACACCCATGTATCTGTGAACTAACCCTAGTAGCAATCTTATTTGTCTTACCCTCATACATAGAGGCTACTTTTATAACTAATTCTCTATCATAATATTTTATCATATGTGCTTTAACTTTTCTTCTAATACTTTTATGATGGTCTCCAACAAGTAAATCTAGTAAAAATAACATGATGAGCAAATATAATAGCATGAGCAAGTTGCAAAGATGTCAGTTAAAGCAATAGCTAATGTTTTTTAGAAATTAATAGACTTCAGGAATTGAGTTTTTTAATCTTTGTATAAGGTAAGTGGTATTTTTATCCACATCTTGTAAAGGGGGGAATTGAGATGAAGATAAGTTAATCAATATGCCTAAGGTCATTCAACTACTTAAAAAGCAAATGTAAATCTGAACCCAGCATTCTGACTCTAGAATTTATGCTCCAAGCCTGTTACTATTCTTACAAATTCAAGAATGACAGTAACTCGGGACCAAGAATCTTCTAATTGTTCCCAGTACTTTCCAATTCTATCACATGCAAATTACCTAAAGATACTTAGTGACTGACTGGATAATGTTCCTTTTACTGGGTACTGTTAACTAGCCATGACAGAATTATGGCTAGAATATGTCATTATACAAATCTTTGCTGTCCTACGACTATTTAAATTTAGTGTCAGTTTTGACTATATGAGACTAAAATTATATCATAAAATTGGCCTCTGGTTTATTTGTGATATTATTAAATCCAAACTGGTTGACCTCAATTGTAAAGATAACATTGAAACTCTCCTCACAAATATGTACAATTTTTATAGCCAATTTAACTTGATAGTGATTTGGGAGCAATTTTATGAATTAATTATGCCAAGTATATAGGCCTATTGCCCACGTAGGCCATATGAGTCAGTGTCACTAAGAATCATCTGTAGGATCAATGTGTAGTTAAGAAAACTATGGTTGATAAAACTCCATGAATAGCCATTTCTCTCTCCCCGAATTCAGAGAAAATCACTTCTTAGTTACTGATAATTAATATCAGAAAGGACCTATCTTTGGAATATTCGGGCCTTGAAAATTAATATAAGGAGGCTTTTAAAATTCATGGGAAATGGAATTGAGAGATATTGGAATTTTTCATGAAATATTTCATTAAATATTTGGAACATATTTTAAATAATGCATTTATTTTTTAGGGATTCTGTTTTGCTAAAAGACGGAAATTGGACTAAAAAGATTGATGTGAAGAGAACACTTAAATCTGAAGATCTTAGCATAAATCTAATTAGTTCTGAATATGGTTAGTAAATTGAAGTAATGAATGCATTTAACATTTCTTTGGCTTATGCTAAAACAAAAATAATAAAATAATATTGTGTAAAAATAATATATTTTGATATAAATAAAAGTTAAAGGATGTATCATATACTTAAATATGTAAAAGATGGCATGACTAAATATGACCTGATTAAAATTTTACCTGTGCATTATGCAAGATATTGTGAGACAGTAAATTTAAAATATTATGGAACCATTGATTTTTATGCTAGAAAAACAAATTTTTATTTGCTGCATTTTTAATGTTTTTCATATTAATGCATTGAATTCCTGTAACTCTTCTAGTTTAAAATATCCTAAGAATATAAGAAATATTTTAAAATTAGTATCATCTGGATTTATATAAATATGCCCTGAAATTTGTATTCCTTTTTCCAGTTGGACTTGATATTCAGAAAACATTTACAGTATTTTACTTAGGACCTAAGAGGTTTGAAAATGAAGTAATTATGCATAGAAAATCAGAAATAGAGATTTCTCATTCTAAACATACAGATAAATCTGTAGCAGGAGCCGATAAAGGTAAGTGGCTATTTTAATTACTACTTTGTATTAAAACAAAACTAATACTTACCTGGCAGGGGAGATACCATGATCACGAAGGTGGTTTTCCCAGGGCGAGGCTTATCCATTGCACTCGGGATGTGCTGACCCCTGCGATTTCCCCAAATGTGGGAAACTCGACTGCATAATTTGTGGTAGTGGGGGACTGCGTGCGCGCTCTCCCCTAAAAAAAACAAACAAACAAACAAAAAAAACTATAGCTAGGGGAAAGGATTAATAGATTATAGCGCTGCTTTGCTCAGATCACAGATGCTCTGGAATTAGACATTTCGGTGTGATAAGTTACATTAATAAAATATTGTATAAATTTTCCTAAGAGTTAATGTTTGTCAGATTGAGGCAATATTTAGTATATAACTTACTTGATTGCTCTGTTAATAAACATTTTCTCTTACCTATACTCATTTTATTGTTATGACCAGTGTCAAGGGGAAAGCAAGGAATGTACATAAATCTATTGATCTGATAAGGCAAACCAGAGTGGCAGTGCATTAAATTTTCTTCCTATGAAAATTTTCAAATATACACAAAAGTAGACAGAAGTGTATATTCACATAAAAAGAGGTCTATCATCATTAGTCAGTGGGGAAATGCAAATCAAAACCTCAAACTTTATGTCCACTATGATGACTTTAATCGGAAAGACAATTGCAAGTTATGTTAAGATGTGTAGAAACTGAACCCTTATATATTACTAGTGAGAATGAAAAATGGAACAGCTGCTTTGGAAAAAACTGTCAGTTCTCAATAAGTTAAATATTACTGTATCACCAGCAATACCTAGGTATATATGCAATAAAATTGAAGACACATGCTCACATAAAGACTTGTACAGGGATACCTCAAAGATATTGCAGGTTTTGTCCCAGACCACTGTAATAAAGTGAATATCTCACTAAAATGAATCATGTGATGTTTTTAGTTTCCCAGTACATAAAAAAGTTATGTGCACACTTTATTGTAGTCTATTAACTATGTAGTAGCATTTTGAAATAGTTTGCAATATTGTGAGCCTTACCAATATATGACAAATTTGAAGTGAACAAATATTGTTGGAAAAATGGTGCCAAAAGACTTGCTTGAGACAGTGTTACCACAAATCTTTGATTTGTAAAAACGATAACATCTGCAAAGTTCAATAAAGCAAATCATAATAAAAGGTATGCCTGTACAAGAATCTTTATAGTAGCATTATTCATAGTAGCCAATGCTTGCTTCTGAATGGATAAATGAAATGTGGTATATTCAAGCAGTAGATGAAGAAAAGAACAAAACATTAATAATGCTACAACATGGACGAACTTTAAAAGTGTTTGCTAAGTGTTAGAAGGCAGTCACACAGGCCAGATATTGTAAAATTCCATTTATTGTATGATTCTAGTTCAATTTGCCAACCTTTCCTACTGGTTCTACTGGTGGTTTCTTACAGACATATCCAGCATAGTCAAATTCATAAAGCTAGGACATAGCTTAGTAGTTGTCAGGGGGTAGGAGTACATGGGGGAATAACTGCTAATAGGTATGAAGCTTCATTTTGTAATAATGTCAATGTTCAGGGATACATCGGCTTGCCATGAGTCAGAATTGACTTAGTAACAACTAGGTTTGTTTTTTTGAGTTTGTGGGGTGTTTTTTTGTGTGTATATGAGTGTGTCTGTGTGATTCTTGAAAGTTGCATGACTCGTGATATATTTATAACAAAACATAGCACTGAATTGTATACTCCAAAAAAGTAAATTTTATGTTAAGTACATTTCAATGAAATAATTTATAATCAATTATATTACTACATTCTAATATGTATATATATATATAAAGACTCCTTACTGTCAAGTCAACTCTGATTCATATTAACCCAATAGGTCAGACTGCCTCAGCTTACTCCTGAGAAGTGGCTGGTGGGTACAAACTACTGACCTTTTGGTTGGTATCCAACAAATACAGAGATAGAAATGATAATTGTTAAAATGTTACTTACAGCAGTTCCAAAAAGCTCAAATACTTAGGAATACATATAACAAAAGATGTTCAAGATTACCATATGAAAATGAAAAAAAATTTTAAAGAGAAAATTAAGGAGGTTTTCTCTTCTTCCTCATGCAACAGAGAGCTAAATCGTTTCATGTGGCCCTGACCCCATCCCTGAGACACAATGATGAAGGTCAGAATAAATGGATTTGGCCGTATTGGGCACCTGCTTTTAACTCTTGCAAAGTGGACACTGTTGCCCCTAACAAACCCTTCATTGACCTCAGTTATATGGTATAAGTATTCCAGGATAATTCCATCCATGGCAAGTTCAATGGCAGTAAAGTTTGAGAATGGGAAGCTTGTCATGCCACCACTGTCTTCCCGGAGTGAGATCTTGCCAACCTCAAATAGAGTAAAGCTGGTATTGAGTATGTCCTAGAGTCTACCAGTGTTGTCACAACTTTAGAGAAGACTAGGGTAACTTGATGGGTGGCTACCCCATCTAATGCTCCCATGTTTCTGATGAGCGCAAACAATGAGAGCGCAAACTCTCAAAATTGGCAGCAATTCCTCCTGTACTACAAACTGCTTGGCCCCTCTGGATAAGGTCATGCATGACAACTTTGGCATCATAGACAGACTCATGACCACAGTATATGCCATCACTGTCACCCAGAAGACTGTAGAGGACCCCATTGAAACTCTGGCATGATCACCATTGGGCATCCCAAAACATCATCCGGGCATGCACTGGTGCTGCTAAAGTTGTGGGCAAGATTATACCTGAGCTGAAAGAAATTCACTGGAATGGCCTTCTGTTTTCCAACCCCCAATGTTTGAGTCATGGATCTTACTGACATATGGACAAAACTACCAAATATGAAGAGATCAAGAAGGTGGTAAATATAGCAGGCTTCTGATTATCCTCTAAAGGGCACTTTGTCTCCTGAGACTTTAATAGTGACACCCACTCTCACTTTTGATGATAGGACTGGCATTGCCCTTATCAACCATTCTGTCAAGCTCATTTCCTGGTACAACAAAGAATTTGGCTAGAGCTACACACACAGGAAAAAAAATTGTGGCCCATTCTACAGAATGGTGGACCTTGTGGTCCATAAGGCCTCCAAGGTATAAGAATCACTGGACTACCAGTCACAGGAATAGCACTTAAGGAAGAGAGAGGCTCTCAACTGCTGAAGCATCCTTGCCCCAACTCCATCTTGTTACTCAGAATATCCCATCTTTGAGAGTTTCTATCCATAACCCCTTGAAGAAGAGAAGAGGCTAAGAAAGCTAACCTTACCATGTACTATCAATACAATGTACTATACCCAGCTTCCCCCTCTCCAAAAAAGAAAATAAAGGAAAAGAAATTGAGTGTGTATTAAAATAAAACAAATTAATGGAGTGTTCATAAAATATTTTTTACATTATTCATTGTACTAATGTCATATTAGCCCCAACCTGGAAAACAACCAAATGTTCATCAGCAGTTCAGTGAACAGATAAACTACAATGAACCCTCGCCACTTC